GGTTATTATATCATTTTCGATTCTTTTCGGTTTCTATTTTTATTCAAAACAATTCTATTATATTTTTTTAAGAATTTTTTGATTTTTTTTATTTTTTTAAAATTCGGATCGATTCATTTACAGTAAAATTCGATTCTCTATAAAAAAAAATACCATTCAAAAATTTTAGACGGTTCATTTTGAAATTGATACTAAATTTTTCGATAATGTTACATTTTTTTTATTCGATACGGTTCAACTTTACAAAACCACTCATCCCTACGTCCTAAAAAATTTTGAGACTTACATTTGATATTTTTCTATTGAGAAAAAGGTTACAAAAATTTTTACTAATCGAATGTAAACTAATAAATTTAATCAATGATAATCCAAGTGTACAATAAGAACACAAATTATAATAAATAAATTGTAAATAGCAAAAACAAGAACAACCAAATAACAAATGTGCCCCCCAAAAAAAGGTTTGTGTTTCCGCGTCTCTTTCGTGGCAATCTCTACTCTTTTTGGTGGATAATGGATATATAATCCAACGTCCGGTTCGGTTTGGTTAGAACCGGTTTACGAAAATTGGTTCACGGAATCATGGGGATTTCTTGGGCGGCAATTGAGAAATCTCGACGAGAATTCGGTTCAATGACTGAGGCCGAGAGAAGAAGGGGGCGTGATCGGATCCCTTGAGCTGAAAAATTTGTTCTGGAGGGTTCGATTTGATCATAGAATCTTGGAGAGAGACCGGTACGGCATAATCATCCATGGTTTTGATGTAGAACCGGCGAACCGAACCGTAATTCTTCTCCGAGTAGTGAAGCTTTTCCAAAACCGGTGCAAATGGGATTGGTCTAATTGAAACCGAAGCCAATGCAATGTCCTATTATGTCAAAGTATAATGAAAACCGGTAAAGTGAAACCGAATCATACCAAAGCAAAACCGGTTTCAATATCCCAAAAATGGCAAAATACCTTTTGAGGGCTCTGATTAAAGAGGAAATCTCTCAGAAGAGATCTGTCGAAATCGACAGCAGTTGGAGGGTTCTTCTTTCCGTTTGCATACAGAAAGATTTGGGCTTGTTGCATGAGATCATTTGAACCCTGCAGCTTAATCAAATATAATTAATTAAGATATTATTTAGACTTGACCATGCAATAATTACATCAAACATGTATATAGATAGATATATAGATAGATAGATAGATAGATAGATAGAGGGGAAAAAAACCTGGTGGGTGAAGAGATCAAGAGTGCTTTGACCATTGGACAACATGGCACCGGAGATGAAGACAGCCTTGGAGATCTTGCAAGGGAACATCTCCATGACATAAGAAATGCATGCCCCTCCAAAATCATGTCCCACCAATATCACCTGCGATCAATTCCCAAGCATTATTTTGCCATTTTCATATGATCATACATAATATATACATGTAATTTAGGAAGGGATGGAACCTTCTCTCCGGGCTTGAGGGTTTCGAAGAAGAGGATGAGAGGCTTGGCGTATTGGGAGAGGGAGGAGATGGAGTTGGGGTCGAAGGAGCTGACGCCAGAGCCGGTCAAGTCGACGGCGTCCACGTGGAAGCCATGGTTCTCCAACAGAGTGATGGTTTTGTACCAACACCAAGCCCCGAACCCTCCTCCATGCACCAGCACGAACCTCTTCGTTTCCCCTCCCTCCACCTTCACCTCCTGCATGCCCTCCACCACATAATTAGTTACATTACCTTGCATGTACGTACGTACATTCATGACGTTGCATGCACCATGTGTCAATATGTTTATTGTTTCGTTTCTTGTTTTCATACGCATCACAAACACTAAACGTTAAAGTGACGATGTTATCTCAATTCATCTATATATGATACGTATTCATGCCATAAAATTTGTTCATTTATATCATTCATTTATGATACCTTTCCACATACATTTATATCATTCATCCATTTATGTATTAAACACTAAACGTTAAAGTGACGATGTTATCTCAATTCATCTATATATGATACGTATTCATGCCATAAAATTTGTTCATTTATATCATTCATTTATGATACCTTTCCACATACATTTATATCATTCATTCATTTATGTATTACATGCATACTTGAAACTGCTAATTGTTGATATTGATGTTGTCTCAATCCATCTATGTTCGGTACCTTTTTTATTCATGTCAAAAAATTTGTTCATATATATATATATATCATTTTTTATGATGCAAGCAGTTTATATGTTTTGAGTATGATGATGTTGTATAGAATTACTTCATATTCTATTGTATCATTTTAGTTTGTTAAAAGCGATCCAAATGATGTACACACATTTGTATAATCAAACCGAAATGTACTCAATTACATGTACGTTTATTCTTAGGGTGAGAGTAATTCCTTTTTTGATGTAAAGGGTTTTGATTTAAAGATTTTCACGTAGGTTCATATTCAAGTAAACCCTAAACCATGCAGGTGAATATTGACATAATATATTACACGGGAAACGAGTGAAAACGATCCAAAAATACAGGGGCATCTCCGAAGTTTACCTTTTCTACGAGCTGATTCGGTTTGATGAGAGGGTCAGTGCTGGATCTCTGCCGAGAGCTCGAGCTTCGGACAAATCCTCCGACCGGCTTCTTGG